ACAGCTTCCTGCAGTTGTGTCAGGTAGCTGCATTATGTGCTTATACCTCAGGGGCAAGTTATTGCAAGTTTTTAGTTATTTTCAGTGAATATTTGTATATAAACATGGTACCTTCTGACAAATCTCACGTTGGCATTTTCTGTGTTAATAATTATTGTCTCATTGCTGTGAACCTTTTAGGATTAAATATGCATTTCTGAAATTTGTGTATACATAATCAGTTTTATTATTCAACATCTAGTCAACATTTAATAATTATGCGTCCCGTGATATAATTGTATTCATAGAACAGCTCAACCAAACCTCATTCCTTTCTGTGTTTGCAGCTTCTTCTCCCCTGGTTATTATCTTACATACTAGAATGGATTTGCACAAGCTTTGTTTGCAGTTCCTATAAATTCATTGCTTGCATCACTTCTTCTCAGACAGCACACTTAGCAAGGCATCATGCACCCTTTGTCACTTTGATCGCTGCATTATACATCATGCAACTGAGAATGGCAGCATCTGCCACAGCAGAGAGATGGTGCCACCTGATCCAGTATTTTGCTGTCAAACTATTGTATTTATAGAAAGAATGTTTATTTTATGTGTCATCTTAATATGTTTAATGTGCACAAGTTGATAAAACAATAAAGACATGAAATGTTCTTCACTTGAATTGTTTTGTTTTTTCTCATAGCTGTAGCTTTTAAAAGCTTCAAATTATGCAGTGATGTAGGATAATAACAGGTGACATTATAAACATCACAGGGACTTGAGCTCAGTCAGTCTCGCTATGTACTGTAAAAGCTCGCCCCCTATCGTCTCTCTGCTGGGCGGCACCCTGCTGCTTCTATCCAAGGTTTCTCTAACTTTCAAATGACCATCATATCTTTAATATTCTGCGTTTAATATTCCTCTCTTCAATGTAACTATAACTCTGCAAGAGCCGGAGAGTTTCTCCCGAGAGTAATACTGCCTCCTTTCACCTATAAAAAGAACTTCATCTGACTTCACACTGATCAAGGTCTTTCTCAAATTGGATGACACAGATGATCATCACTGGCTTTCCCTCATCCCTCACAAAGACTAGTAGACCTAGGTCACACCAAAGTGCACTGTGTTGGTGCTTGCACCAACCTCTGTAGTCAAGTCTTGGCAGGAGATTCTTCTTGGTGCTGCTTACAGACCTCCTTAGCTGTCGGTAGTGATGGCCGATGAGGCTTTGTTGAAGCTTTGACACAGTGTTCACACAAATTTTTCATTACTCGA